AGCATTTTCATAATTATATTAATTACTATATAATTATATTCGCTAGAATTTCGAAATAATTCTACGAGTTTTCCAAGTGAAAAATAGAATTAGCAATAATGAGGGGTAAAATACGGGAAGTAAAACGAAGAAATAATTGAATGTCCTCTCAACCGTGTTTTCGTTGGGAGATGAAAGAGGATCTGAGTGGAAACGTGTACGTCACCTCGAAATGGAATTACATTCACCACCTAAGGGGATAAGAGCGTATGAGGACGTCCGGGTGAATGATTCTCCATGTCAAACTCGAATCCGCTCAATGCGACGACAATCTCATCGTCGCCGTTGGCTGGTGCAAATTTTGATTCAAATGTCCTTTGGTTTACCCGAGTAAATGTCATAGTCCTCTAATTCGTCCATTCAATTTACCGTGATTGTTCTTATCATCGCACGTGGACAATAATTCCCCGAATAATCACCGTGAGAATATTACCAAAGAGATTTGTAACGAGACACACGATTATTTTTTCAAAAGACTATAATATCACCATTATTATTACTTTTAAAATTAAATAAAAGACTTGACAGAATTGTTGATTCAATTTGAATAATAAAAATAGAAAAGTCCAAGGATATTCCGCTGTTTAATTAGATTGCAAAATAACAAACAAGATTCGAGTATAATTATGGAAAAATCATCTTTCTTCATTTGATGAAGTGGACTAGAGGGGTACAGGTAAATGATGAAGAGAGGGAGTGTCACGGAAATGTTTTTTTTTCTGAATTGTCATGATGAAAGTGTTTGTCCTGCTTCCAAAAAGTTCATCAATCACATTGTCATTTGATCCTCGAGTAGACGATCCCCTTTTATCCGTGTTCGTCTCATTATTTTAGGGAAGATCGTGAAGTAAAGTGATTATTATTGTGTTATTTACTCATACCACGTGCAAACACTGCAGTAATGGGATGCAATTAATTTTTTCACTGGCATATAAAGCAATTAGAGCTGAAAATAAAATTCTGAATGAATCGTTACGAGATGAGCCACCTGTTGCCCTCAACATCCTCGACATGCACAAACACTTTACTAAAAAAGCCTAAAGGGGTAATCTAGACAAATTCGTTTGATAAATTCTGAAAGAGTTCTCCAATCCTCACGGAGAATTATTGATTCCTCCGAGCCATGAGACAAGAGCTATTTATCATGCAGTTTGATGTACCGGAAAAGGGCAGGATGTGGGGAATTAATTTTATTCCCACGAAAGACATTTTTTTCTTTATAAAAATTTTTTGATCATCACTACTTGCAAAAATCATCACCACTTGTAGAAATTCCTCCCAAAAATCTTCGAAAATTTGCTTATTCTTTTGGATTCTAGGATTTAAATAATATATTGCGATTTAATATTTATGCCTCTCCATTTCGCTGAAATTTGTACCCGAAATTTCATATGGACGAATGAAGGGGGAAGTAATTTACTAAGAATTAAAAAATGTATGGAATTAACGGAATTGTTCGGTTTTAATTTTCATGTACTTTAATTATTTTAATAATACAGGTGGCATTATTAAAATATTGGAGCTCAGAGACATGATATATAAAACAATTAATCTGCAAAGAGTCTCAAAGCGAATTTAATTTCAGTACAATATCCGGAATTTTGAAAGAAATAGTAGAGTTGGCGGAAGTTGCATTCCTTCTCTATTATTTT